GTCATACCTTCAAAAACAATATAGTCAGTTCCCTGACTACAGTTTCTCCTCCATACTTAGAAAAAGAACGGAGTAGGTTGTCTGAACAAGGTGTCTGATGATGCTTTAGTACTCAGGAATCTTTGCAGTCCTCTGCTTCCTAAAGCGAGTCCGTTTTAAGTGACCAGTAGTCGATCTGAACTGCTTTATCAAGGGAGCCCTCTAGGGTTCCAGTTATCTATAAAGTTGGTTATGGGCAACCCACCTACTTCACAGACTGTCTCGCTCACTCCAGACTTCTTCTTGTTTGTGTACAGACAGCTACTACCTCCATTCCTCTCGTTCTGACCATCAGAACCTAACATAAATTCTGCTTGATCTGTCGTATAGTCGAATTACACACAGAGTTGCAGTCGCTACCTAACAAAATGCATCAATGAGGGTCAAGAAGTTGTAAGAAGCTAGCAGAGATCCACTGTTTACTCACGGAAAGTTCTTCAAAGCCACACAGCCTTAGTCTCCATTTCATCACGTCTTGTAAGTTCAATCAATGCTCATTAACACTTTCTGGATGTTCAGAAACCAGTCTTGACTATAGATATGTCTAGTGGATGGTTTCAATAGTAGGTGCAATCAGTTTGTCTTCTTCAGTGTATTTCAGACGACGATTTTAATGATCATTGAAACGCAAAATTAACTTAACACACACGCGCATACACACTGGTGTGACCAGAGTCCAGACAATTGCTCCCGAAGAAGCAGCAATCCTGAATACACTCATACCATCGGTAGCCGATTGTAATATGATATGTCTAAAAGAAGGCTTTAGTGGTAGTAGAAGAACGGCAGATAAGATGAAGTATCCAGAAAAATGGCCTATACGTATCTAGTAACAAACTAGTAAGGTTCACTGAATATATGAAAGTAAATAATAAACGCCAATATCAACTATTTTGCACTGTATGTGCCGAGTAAATCATATTTCGACGACGTGATGGAGAGTGTCCCAGTAGTTTACGTGGAAGAGGGGGGCGGTTCGTCTGGAAAAATCAATACCAACTTTTAACAAGTCAAAAATGCAGCCAAACACACGATCTTGCACTTACTGGTAATCACTAGTAAATATGACTAGAATAAATCAACTAATTCTAAAGTATCAGAAAGAGAAAAAAAGACTATCATTGCTGATTATGAACAAAATGCAATCTAATACACACATGTATGCATTATATGCGCATATTTATGTATATTATACCTAGGCAATTCTCCATATTTACCTGGAAAATGCATAATCTTCATATTGATTTCACTTATACGTGTACAATAACTAAAGAGATTGAAGTCAAACAAAGATATGAATTCAGTCAGTATGAATCAAAATCACTCTGTTCTTAGCATCCTTCAGTTATATCAGGAGTAATGTGAGGTAGACGAACAAAAGTGAAAGTATTCAATGCATTCAGAGATTTAACAATATGGAGGCTGTGTTGAAAATCTTATATAAAATTTAATTTTGCTATTTTAGTTAAAAACAAAACTGGTATAATTATAGTACTGTCAAAGTTGTATATGATTTTATGTTGAGTTAAATCAGACTGATAAAACAATGCTTAAATCAGTTAATCAATTTAACCTATTTCATATTCATCACTAACCGAAATTTCCTAGTAACACAATATAATGTGATCAATTGATTATCTTGATTTTCTGATAGTGGCTAGCAGTGAAATCCAGGACGTGCGTTTCGTCCCATTTTGGGCTCATCAGCTGGATGTATCTGCCTCTCATTGAGTGCTGTTTTCCCTGATAGCACTTGAACCCAGAATAAGATCGCTTCAAACGCTACATCGTTACTCATTACGCCAATGAATCAAGATAATCAATCCTTATCTGACTAGTATAGTTTTGATGTTACTGTTTATTACTTCTCATCGTTGATTAAGCCATACTGATATCTAGATTTTGATACTAAATGAAGTTTTGAGTAGGTGAGTAACCGTAAGCAGTGTTCCATTCTAAATATTGTATAACAAGTGTAACAATAATTGAAGGTTGAAAGGTAGTACGCATAAGAAGTTATGATTTCTGGTCTAAAAACTGATACAAGATTGCATAGGTTGCACCATATGAAATGTGAGCCAACAACCACAGTTCAGTAATAATAATGATAATAATAATATGAACCAAAACACAGACGAATAGATCAACAGTTAGGCATAGAATGAGATGTTCGTGTTATAAGGTTCACTGAACAAATAATTTATTTGTTCCAGTAACATCAGCTTTGACAATTGTTGCATGCTGTTTTGAGCGTCAAATCCCTACTACTTCGTGAAACCACAGCCAATTAGTTCGCAACCAATGTAGATGCTTGCGAGATTACTTACAAATGGGTCAGAAAACCCCACAGTATCTTTTTGTGTGAACTAATTGTGAGAGTTATCGCTAATGATATTAAGATTGCGTGTACTTTGATCAGTCTCTCTCATGTTATGGGAATATCAATGATAAAAGTGACGTAAACTTCCTACATCACCTAATTGATCATGTGTGTGGCTACGATACACTACTAAGCTGTATTAGGGACTTTTACTGGGCAAGAAAATATCCTTCTTTGGCAACAATTTAAGCAGCTTGGCAAATCCTAGAGGACATTTCTAAATCTGCCGTAAGTGCATTACTTTCAAGACAAACTTAACTATCTCTACACTTACAGGAACCTAGTATCTATCTGAAGTGAGCACAAGAATCAGCTTCTTAATGATACATCAATGACTATTGAACTTAAAGCCAATTTCAGAATGCTAGATCCTTCAACGTATCGTATTTTCTGGTCATAATGTATAGGTCTATTTCACGCTGCTAACCAGATTGCAGGTATGCACTTGTCAGTTGTGACATACTGTTCTAATTAACACTTCGACTGGCTTTTCGTTAACTATTATATCGTCTCATCTCATTTTTATTTCATTTTTTTACAATGAGAAAAACAACACTTTCTACACAGGATTAAATCATTACCCACCTCACATTGCTGTTTATGGAGATGTGGCTCATTGGTCTAGGAAGTTGACTTTCAACTTGTGAGTCACAAGTTCGAACTTTACTTCTCCTACCGAGGTTTGGGCAGCTAGATAGTAGTATCATTAGGTTTCACACAACAAGTGTAACTCACTGCTCACTACATGAGAGTGGACAAAGTTACTGATTTGGTTTCGTAATCCTAGTGTCCTTCTTCTTTGGAATTGGACAGTCGACCAATTTGAAGTGAATGAATAACTCATGGAAGACCTTATTGACATTCGATATTCTCGGAGAATCATACAACAGTGACTAAGCGCAGAAAAGAAATTTCAAAGGTCTTTCCTACTCTTGATGTAAATATCAATGGGACCATTGTTTTGGATTGCGGTTTTCAAAGAACCCTAAAATACTCATCAACTTATTGCACTTTTCAACAGGATAAGTGACATGACGGATGGTGGCTAGCAGTGGAATCGAGGGCGCGTGTTTCTTTCTATTGGATTCGTCAGCTAAATGTACCTGCCTCCCAGTGAATGACTCGAACTTGGGACCTATCGCTCCAAACACCAGAGCGTTATTCACTAGATTACCGAGCCATTATAGCCAAGTCTTGTGTGACGGGTACAGTTTTTTAATGTTGTTGCTTGTATTATCCCGTTGTTGGTAGAACGAAACGCGTGTCATGGATTCCACTGTTAACCACTATCCAATATAAATATATAATTGAGAGGCAGGCAACATCGAAGCATCCGCTCAGCAGCCCATATTCTAATAGAGACCGATCCATTCGGTCCAGTCAACGATGGGTTAATACAAGCAAAAACATTAAGAATAAATGACTAACTAAATGAAGATTTAAGGGAAAGGAAATACAGTAAGCGGAAAATAGTTGACTGCAGGTTTCAAGGACTAACTAGGCTGACTGTAGGTAATCTAAACGTTCTTACACGATTCAACTTAGGATTCAAAAGACAATCAGGGAATACTTCTTTATATTTACTGCAGATGAGATACAAACCGAACTATAAGTCGGGTTACAATCATGCTACAAGTACCGGGTATTTTGTTTAATTTATCATATGAATCAGAGATATCTGACTATCAATACTTCATCATGCTAACTATCCAACTAAATCTTCTTGTTTTGATTCAAATCGGTGTTAATGACGGAAGGACAGCCGTACAACGATTGTTCAAAAGACTACCTTAAATAGTGTTGGTCAACAGATTGTTTCTCGTTATCAAGTGTAAGGAACTACTACATTCAAACTGTTCAACTGAAATTTGGATCAGGTCAACAGTTGGATCTCATAAATCAATTACTGTGCTGATGACCTTGTCATGCACAGTTTACTGATTTCAATCCTGTCAAAAATGAAACTTACTATCGACTTAAATTTCGCTTCTGTGTGAACGATGGTCTATCGTCCTAAGCAATTTTAGATGCTCAAATGAGCAACAGATAGTTTCCTCAATAAAAGCGATGTATCACATAGCCCTCTGATAACAAGTATCTGTCTTCAGTCACCAGACAACATATCCCAGCTAGAGGGAAGATACGGTGAATAACTTCACTAGTTGTAAATTATGTAGAAATTACTGATTGCTGATAGATGATCATCTAACTAAGAACCAAAATCCTTAACCTTTCGTAACCTAGGTTTTCTTCCACCGTCAATCATCGCCAGGTAATTTCAGATTCCCAAGATTATAATGAAAACTCATTGGCAATGAAGTTCATTATTTAGAAGACAGAGTTTAGAAAGATATTCACATATTACATAGAAAGGAATTACAGACATAAACTGAACTGCGTTGCCATAGGGTGGATTTTTAACTTATTAATTCAGTGACAACGTACTCACCACTAGATATGGAAATCTTATATACAAATTTTGAAGGTATAAAGGATAATTACCGTTAATATTTGTCAAACTTAGCCGAAACATCTCCTAGTAATTTGTACTTATGAGATGTGTGGTACATACTATAATTTAGTAAGGAAACCTGTCTTCTTATTCACTGCTGCCACCGACTGAGATTCACAAGACTGTACCAAACCCATAGTATAAGCAGAGGCTATTATAACTCAGTGGCCTAGTGCGCGACGGCCTGGCGTTTGAAGCGATCATTGCCGGACCCGAGTTTTAGTGGGAACAACTTCACTCACTGGGAGGTAGTTACATTCAGCTGACGAGTCCCAAGTAGGACGAAACGCGTGACCTGGATTCCACTAGCAGACATTACCCATCATTAATATTCACCTGCTTGTCGCTTTGTCGTTTTTTTTTTAAAGAAAACTGTTTAGTAACTCATGAAATTCTTTGAAAGACTCAATTCCGATATCCCTGAAGAAATCAACCCCAGCATTGTTCACAAGACACTATCATGAAATAGCTATCTAAATCTGGTTTACTATGCATGTATACATAGGTACAAATAAATCAATCTGTTCTCCTGTTGTTTATTCCTCGTGCCATGCAAAAAAAGATGTTCTTTATCAACTCAACGGCGAGAAGAAGGAGGGGACAGAAAATCAATATATACACGGTTTGTGTCGCTTTGTATTGTTTACAAAGTGGCTAATTTGACATGTCAATCCTTCTCACACAACACACATACAAACAAACAAATACATGCCAGAACACAAACGCACAATCTTGTTGAGTGGAAGGATAAATCAATTAATTTAGCGATGAAAAGGAGTATGAAACACAATAGGAATGACATTATATTGACCATAAACCGACCAGTCACCAGAATGGTAGTAGTAGAAGCAGCAAATGATCGTAACAACACATGTAATACCTCTGGCTGTGTTAATGACCAACTGATGTATGCCCGCACACAAAAGTTGACCACGATAATAATAATAATAACCAAGGTTAAGGTGAGTAGACAGAAGGAAAAAAGCAAAACAAAGAGAAACAAAATAACGATAAGTTAGAGATACGAAATGACTGGCAATTGGGAGGTTAGTCAAATCAAAGTGGACTGGTGAAAACAAAGCAAATAAAACACATGAATAGAGATGAATCTATGATTCATCGGGGTTGAAAACACAAAGGAGGAAAGTATACTCTAATTGACTAGATGACTTGGCATGAAGACATTTATTGCTAAGACATTATAAACAGGTGAGTACTGTTTATGTATATATATACATATAAGATAGTTGACTGTTAATCTCTGTGTTCGTGTGTATGTGTGTCAAACTAGGAAGGAAGCAATTAAAAAGGTAACTTCACAAGTTTAATTTCCCACTGTATTATGGTAATATTAATTGACTTCAGAGGTTGGTTATTCGTTTAATAATGAACTATAATTCATAAATGCTTACATTTATACAAAAGTCTGAGTGTGAATCGAAAGAAATCAACTGATGAAAATAGACACATACAAACGTACACACAGAAGATTGATGGATAGACAAGCACACCGGTAACACAGCAGCATATTGATACTGAATAAATGAACTTCATATGTGAATAAAAAATATTCGATTTACCTCTGGTATAAAAAGGATTCTACAACCTTTTGCTCTCGATTCTGAAATGACGGTGATTTTGTGTGTGTTTATGTGCGTGCGTGAAATAGTCAGACAGTAGAATTCACTGTCAGATCAATAAAAAATAATGTATATTTGATCTCTTCCCCATTGAGGTATATTCCGTGGTAAAAGTTTAGCTATATCTGTAGTCAAAATGGATTACTTTTACGACTTTCATCACACCATGGTGAAATAATTGATTGATGATGAACTGGACATGGTAGTGGTGATAAAGATGAGTCAGATGAAGTTGAACGTGGTACTAGAAATGAACTACGACTTCTAGTCTGATTGATAGATGAATTCATATCGTCCAGATTAGTTAATATTTCCTCTTCTTGTCGACATCGTAGTTTACGACACTCATAATCATAGCGAGCTCGAGAAATGGCTGCATCTAAATCCCAGTTGCATTTATTTAGTAAGCGTTTACTGTGTGATCGAGACACATAACCTTTACGGCATAGTAATTCAAACTTTAGACGTCTTGATGCTTCATCATAATCATAACTGCTACCTATCAGTACAGCTTGACATTCAGATTCAGTAGCTAGTGGAACTTGTTTCATCAGGCGTAAAATTAATTCTTGATGAAAATGCTTGAGGGAATCTTTACATATCTCAGATTTACCACGTCTCAGTTTAATATCTTTGAGTGGTAGTTCTTCAGGTGGACAGAATTCGGCTGATTCGATGTTTGTATATCCATCAACCGTGGGAGATGTGTCTAATGGTGATGATGGAGGAACGCGTATATAGTCAGTCGTTCTTCGCATAAGAGTAGAGGCATTACGTAATGTTTTACACCGAGGAGGATCAAGAAGCCAGTAATGTGTGTCACTTATTTTTACGCCATTCTGTATAATTGGATAAATGCGAACATTGAAACGACTGTTTTCTAGGCTAAGTGCTTTGCCTTTATCCATTTCAGAATGAGTTGGGGAAAGCTGAGATGTAGGTAGTTGAAGTGACGATACGGCACAATTTCTATCCTGAACATTTAATTTTTGTACTGTTCCTTTAGCAGAAGCTGCTTGTTTTTCAAGAGCAGCTTTAAGCCAGGGTGGGCAGGCTCGTGGAGGTGGTGGAGGTACTGGTAATTCCGCTTCCAGTTTAGCTAACAAAGGATCACAGAAAACTGAAGAATCATCTGTAGAATGCATATAGTCACTGGAAAGAACGGTTGAATTCGTTGTTTGATCATCCCCAAAATTCGAACAGTTTTCAAACATAAGGTTGTCTTGACCGAAGTCGAACTCTTTATAACGCTGTTTATCCTGAGGGGATTGACTACAACATTTGTCATATCTCCACTCTAATAGTGGCTCTCTGCTACAACTGCCAGGAGAACGTGAAAGTCCGGTACCCATTGGTGAAGCGTTTCCTGTAGTTGCTGAACGTTTTGAATCGTGCCTGGAAAGACACTTGGAGCCTGACATACCTGTTCGAAATTCGGGAGAGTGGTGTTTATTTACCAGACTGTTCTGTTTTGGTAGGGATAGTGATCGACGTAGTCCAGAAAGAGGAACACAACTGTTGAAGATTTTCGCATGTATTGACGTTGGTGATTTCCTTCTAGGTAGAGTAGGAGAACCACATTCTCTTGAATTTATAGAAGAGTTGAAGGAAATCTGTGAATCTACGTTGGATTTACTTTCTGAAGGTGCATACATAGGATTCAAAATATTTTTGTCTTCCGAAGAAATATTGATTACCTTAACAATATTAGGATTGGATTTGAACGAATAATTCCGTAGTCCACAGTGTTTGCGTTTACTTGTGTTAATAGTTGAAATAATTTTTCTTTTTATAATTCGATTATGAATAAAGTCCTTTTCGTTGTTTGCAGAATAGTATACTCCCATAGTGAGTTTTAAATTCAAGTAGAAATAATACTGTACAGAAAAATTGGCAATGACCTGTATACATTATCTTAAGTTAAAGAAATAATGTTCGGATGTAGAATTTAATCACAAGAACAAACTATATAAACCCCACAAAACGCAAACGAATGAAAGTAAACTATGCTTGTAATTGGCTAATGTATCTAGTATTCCGTAAGTTGATTGGATCTTTTCAAGGTCAATCGATATATTGTCTAGCTTAATCAGAGTAAGAAAAGTGAATGTCAGCATGCTAAAGGTTGTTGACCGTAAGCTCAAAACGTGCTCGATCCAAGCGCTGCGTAGCAAAAATTCATAATTCACAGAAAACTGTGGTTTAGTGCAAACTATAAGCTACTTAACAGAAGTTCAAAATGTAGTCATTATCCCTTAAGGTCATCAATATCCAGGAAATAATAAGAAAGTAAGTTTACTTAGGGGGTTTGATTAAAATTCATTTCGCATAGTTGCATGTCAATCAACTGAAAAATGTATGCTGCTATTATTACATAAGTAAGAATTTGGCCTATGGATAAAGACAAAAAAACCCATTATTATTATTTGTCCCTTGGGTTCCTAATGGAACATACGCCTTCAGTAACACATCTCCATTCCACTCTATTCTCTGAAATCTTCCCAACCTGGCTCCACGACTGCCCAAAAGCTCTCATTTCCTCCTCTCACGATCTCCTCCATGTCATCCTCACATCCGATGCCCAACTCGTCGTTTCTCATCTGAGTTCCACTCGAGTGCCTGGCCTGACACGTGATGTCCCCAGTTGGCCTTCTCAGTGTATGCCCAATCCATAACTTCCTTCCAGTGCATATTTGTTCAGCGATACGTTCTTGGTTGGTTCGTTGCGGCGCCAGCCAGAGTTCCTTGTTGCTTATTCTTATCATTCTAGCCATCTGATCTTCAGTAACGAGCCAGTGTAGGTGGCAGTTGTTGATGAATATATGTAGTTTGTTAATAATCCCTTTCATAACGCGCCAAGTCTCTCAAAAATCACATAGCGCACTGAGTTGACTGAAATTGGTGTTGAAAATCGGGATGTTGTTCACGCTTTATGTTGAGTACAGTAGATCTCCACACTGGTTTCAAATTGATGAACGCCTGTCTTGCTGTCTTTCCAATCCTGGCTGGTTTTGAAGTCCTCGTCTGTGCCTGTGCCGCCTATAGTTGAAACAGTGCTGCCTAGGTGGTGGGTGAAAGAGGCCACTTCCTTTAAATTTCTCCCATTGATGGAAATTGGAGCTTGTTGTATGGCTTTTTAACTCAGATTATTACAACCACTTCTTTTTGGATACAAAGTTAAAGCAAATAACAAATGTATAGATTATTATTAAGGCAGTATTCATCAAAGACTGACATCAGTAGGGGAACCAATGGAAACCCCAGCGCATTGAAAAGCTGTTCCGTCCTAGTATGAGACTCCTCAGCAGTGCGCACCCATCAACCTTCCCGTAAAGGAATCAAATCCAAGACCTTCAGATCTCAAGATAAGCAGTCTAACACTGAGCCACTGTGTTGCAGTCAAATGTTCTACATTCCCTTCTTCTATCAGTTCACATAATAGCGCGACTTAAATCACATATCGTCACTGAGTAACTGTTCGCATATTCGATTGGTTGACTCCACTCGCCATGACATCTCATTGGAACCCAGGGAATCAACTCTCGAAACCAGTCACCAATTCCAACCTAAAAACCTCCAGACAGAACTACTAAATATGGATCATTGTATTGCGATCAAGTAGCACAGTGGTAACGTGCTGGACACGAGACATGAAAGTCGTGGATCCAATACCCGTCAGGCCTGTTCACGGGTACGCAACGAGTCCCACACTGGGACGGAAAAGCTGTCCAGTTCTCCCAGGTTTCGAAAGTTCCCCCGATTGAGACCAGTCGATCATAAATTTCCAGCTAGCGCTAGTTAGTTAGTTAGTTAGTTAGTTAGTTAGTTAGTTAGTTAGTTAGTTAGTTAGTTAGTTAGTTAGTTAGTTAGTTAGTTAGTTAGTTAGTTAGTTAGTTAGTTAGTTAGTTAGTTAGTTAGTTAGTTAGTTAGTTAGTTAGTTAGTTAGTTAGTTAGTTAGTTAGTTAGTTAGTTAGTTAGTTAGTTAGTTAGTTAGTTAGTTAGTTAGTTAGTTAGTTAGTTAGTTAGTTAGTTAGTTAGTTAGTTAGTTAGTTAGTTAGTTAGTTAGTTAGTTAGTTAGTTAGTTAGTTAGTTAGTTAGTTAGTTAGTTAGTTAGTTAGTTAGTTAGTTAGTTAGTTAGTTAGTTAGTTAGTTAGTTAGTTAGTTAGTTAGTTAGTTAGTTAGTTAGTTAGTTAGTTAGTTAGTTAGTTAGTTAGTTAGTTAGGCTGTTTCAACACAAAATTCTAGCTAAATTAAGATTTATAAACCTCATTAAGTTAAGGAACCTAGTGAAAAGCTCCACTGTGGCCATACTTGTCAATGCTCTCGATGATATAACAGTGATATGGTGTTCTCTGAGTCTTCGAATTCCGTCGTGGACGTCTCATCACCAGGTTCGCTGACATCCTCAGCACCAACTTCATAAGGAATTGAAGCATATTCGAGTTGCAATTTACAGATATACATGGAACTTGATGACAGTATTAGAAACTAAGTTGGATTGAAGGGAGAGAGATCGATAACCGACTCATCATCTATTCGATCATCACCTAATCCATGCAATAGGAATGAATCAACACCTGTCCCACACAAATAGAAAATTCCGTTACTCACCATACAAAGCAGAAGAGAGAATTGCAAGCATATCGGCCATCTCTCTAAGTTGTCGAGTTACCTGACATGAATATGGGCAGTAAATCTTGTCGAAACCGCAGTCCGATAAATCATACTATTTCACTGTGACACATCTAATGTAAATTAACTATGAAATGAAATTACAATTTATCACGCAACCCAACTTTTATACTCTAACCTGTCTATTTCTTCATACAAACATCTAATATGAAATGTGTGGTGAGGGTTTGTCTCATCCATGTTATCACTGCCCGAACACATGTACAAGTAGATGAGGGGCACACTTGATCAATTGATTAGTTAAGGATTTCGTAAAACTTCCCTCTCAACTACCTGAAGATTTCTCATTCAACAGTCAAGCGAAACAGAAGTTAGTTCTTCTTTCAATAGGTCAATGAACATCCAGTCAATTAGAAATCATGCAACAGTAATGTATTTTGAGATGAGTGGGAATTTTAATTTCTTTCAAGGTAGTATTCATCATGGATGGACATCAGTTGGAGAACCATTGAAAGGTTGGGGTGATTGGACAGCTGCTTCTTCCCATTGTGGGACTCCTCAGTAGTGCACAACCACTACCCCCACCTCATCAGGGATCGAACTCAGGACGTTCAGGTGTCACAGCGAACGTGTTAACCATTCAGCCACTAGGTCGGATTTCAGTGATTCACAGTCTCCAACTTCTGTCAATTTACGATATAGTGCGACTATCATCTAAGGTGTTCAGATGTGATCCGCTTCGCTTCTGACTGGTAGGCCGTTCAGTTAATGGCTTCTCATTAGAACTTCGTGATGTCCATCTGGAAGCATGTCACTATTTAGCAATATACTGTAATGTATTTTGAGATGAATGTGGATTCTGATTTTGGGGGTTGTATTTATCGTGGACTGACATCAGTTGGAGAACCATTGGAAATCTGAGAGCTCTGGATAGCTTTTTTGTCCCAATGTGAGACTATTCAGCGGTACGCAGCAACGAGCCCCTCAGAGATCAAATTCAGGGCCTTCAAGTCTCGCGATGAACTCATTAACCACTCAGTCAATGAGTCAGAATTTAAGGATACTCAGTTTCCTAACTCTGTCTGTTTGCCATATAGAATGTATAAATGAAAAGTGTGTGCATTGTGGAGTGGATTGATGTATTATTACCAGTAGTTTTAACTTGGAGTTTATACACAATGATGAGTTTTTATTTTAGCAGTATTTCTAGCAAGATTACTGCCCGTGATCACACTAACAGTTGGAATTTCTTAATAATATTTATTCATACATTTACCAATAGGTGTCACATAGTCTTTCCTCATTGTTTCTTTAGTCTATTCAATATAATATTTAGCAGTTATGTTGAGTCGACTTTGTTGAATTTATTAAGTGTGACAAGTACGAATACTGAGTTTTTTTAAATTAATCTTTCTTTCCATTTCATTGCATCGGGCTTTATTGTCGTAGTGTTGTTTCAATCCATATTGAGCTTATCATCGCATATGTGGGCTGCATTCGATGAACTTTCTTCCATGAGCAAACCATAGCTGTTCACTCAGTCTGGTTTTTAATGGTCTTGCTGTTTACCCTACATAGTTTATTGTGTAGTCTGTACACGGTATTTTATGCTCAATACTGTTCTTATTTAATTTTTTAACGGGATTGCATTTTAGTCTGTTTATTAGAAATGTCACACAGTGAAACAGTATCATTCACTCAATAACGTTTCCGACACACTTTATTGTCCATATTCATATCAGGTAACTCCACAAATTCGAGAATAACTTTATATACTTCTGAATTTCTCACCTTCTTTGTGACAAGATAAGCGAAGTAGAATTTTCCACATATCTGGGACAGGTGGAGAATCATTTCAATCCATGCCATCCATTTGGTGTTGATTCGATAAACGAAGATTCAGTTATCAATCTCTCCCTCCCTCCCACCCTCCACCTAACTAACTTAGTTCTCAATGCTATCACCCTATCCCACCTTATTGTGTGATTGTGTCATTGCGTGCAGAGCTGTAGTTGAGTGTGTTTCTAAATTTCATATCTTATTAGGATCTACTAACCTTGGTTTAGGTGGGTTATTGTTCTCTGTTATTCTAATTGATGCTACTTGACTGACTATTTTTGTATTGGGCGTTGCTAGTAGTATATGTTGAGATAGTGGCAGAAATCATACGAAATTATCAGCAATGGGTAAGGATTCTGCCAAGTAAAAAGCAAGAGACAATGCCGTCGTAATAATAACCAATCAAGAGAGAAGTAGAAGGAGAAATGAAGCACATAGTGCAAATGAGTCTTAGTGCAAGGTATACCATATGAAACGACTGATATACCACATGTTAATAATAAACATTTCTTCTTTCATCTCTGTCTTCTCGTTTCCTCAACTCTGA